TTTTTAATAAATATAATTAAATTTTAATTATTAAAAATAAAAAATAATTAATTAAAATTTTATATAAATATAATAGGTAAAATTCTATAAAACAAATTCTCTTTTTACTTTTTATCCTCTTCAGAAAAATTTAAATTTGTTTTTATTTGCCAAAACAACACCATCCCGTTTGTTTTTATTTCTGGCCTCTGTTCTTATCCCAGACCCACCGCTTCCAGTTTCAGATAGCATATCCTATGGATTCCTCAGGCACAGATGTTGTCAACTTCGGAAAATCCATCATTGTGCCCAGTGTTCAAGAGTTGGCCAAGCAAACCATCACCAAAATCCCACCAAGTTATGTCCAACCGGATCAGAGCCCACCGCCTATCACCGGTGACTTACCATCTCCACCCGTCCCATCAGTTCCGGTTATCGATCTTCACAAACTGGTAAACCCAGATTCTGTAAGCTCTGAACTAGACTCCCTCCACTCTGCTTGCAAGGAATGGGGGTTTTTCCAGGTATGTAAAAAACTACTGTTCCTATTATGAAATTAAATTTTCTAGAATTACGACATAAGTTCTTATTTATGGAAGAAATTAAATTTTTAGGTAATAAACCATGGAATTAGTGCTTCACTATTGGAGGAATTCAAGTTGGAGATTGAGAATTTCTTCAATCTTTCTTATGAAGAGAAGAAGGAGAAGTTCTGGCAGCAGCCGGACAACCATGAAGGGTTTGGACAGTTGTTTGTGGTGTCCGAAGAGCAGAAGCTAGATTGGTCTGACATGTTCTATATAACTACTCTTCCACACAACCTTAGGAGGACTGATCTCTTTGACAAACTCCCTACAAAACTCAGGTACGACATTATAATTAATGTACTAATGTAGGATTCTGAGGACTTGACATTAATGGAGTCCATTTTGTCAAGCTGAAATTTTTACGAAATTGCTGCTTGAATATAAAATTTTCAATAGTTTTGGGATATAAATTTTGGAAATTTATGAAATTTAGAAATTTAATACTAAGGGAATTACTCTAGAAGCAATAAGTTTCAAGTTTCAACTAGCTAAGCAGAAGACAATTACTACAAGACCCATTCGGAGATTCAACTTTCGTTTTCGCAGCAAAGAATCTTTTCAAAAGTTCAATCAAATAGACATTTTATATGAAACTCATAAGATTTATATGTAATGGATAAATTGAGAATTCGATGAAATTTTATTACTTTGAAGGACTCTATGATATAAGATCTTTACCAAAAGGTTTAAGACTAGAGCTTCAACTTTTAGTCATCTTTGGTAGAAAGTTAAAATCTCTTCTAAGAAAGAATGTGCTTGACCCAACTTCAGCTTTTAGATAAATAAGATGTTTTAGTGAATATGTCGAACAAGTATTCATTGATTTTCTAGCAGAATCACTTGATTTTGCATTTCAACATTATAATTCTGTTACAGAGAAACACTGGAAGCATACTCCATGGAAATGAAAAATCTGGCTCTTTTGATACTAGATCAGATTGGAAGAGCTTTAAAGATGGATGCTGAGGAAATAAGAGTGTTGTTCACCGATGGGGTTCAGTCAATGAGAATGAACTACTATCCTCCATGCCCTGAACCCGAAATGGCCATCGGTTTCACACCTCATTCAGATGCAGATGCCTTGACGATTCTCTTCCAGCTTAACCAAACAGAAGGCCTGCAAATCCGAAAGGACGGAAGATGGATTCCAATTAAGCCGCTACCAAATGCTTTTGTAGTCAACATTGGAGACATAATGGAGGTAGTACTATTTTACTTGCCTTAGTCTGTTCTGAAGGAAGTTAAAGATTGGCACTCAATGTATTTTGTTTACTCTGTAGATTGTGAGCAATGGATTATATCGTAGCATCGAGCATCGAGCAATGGTAAACTCAACCAGGGATAGGCTATCTGTTGCAACATTCTATAGCTCAAAGCTAGACTTGGAATTAGGTCCTGCACCAAGCATTATTGGCCCTAATAACCCAGCAATTTTCCAGCGAGTTCCTTTGGAGAAGTACTTCAAGGAATTTTTTGCTAGGAAACTAAATGGCAAATCTTACCTTGATTTCATGAGAATGGAAGGTCGGGAGCAAATGTATGCTTGAACCCAAAGTTCAAAAAAGTTATGTGGTTTAATACTTCATCGATAATGATAGAACTTCCGTTGATGGCTTAGCAAGTATTTGTAGTACCAAAATATCTTTACTTCCTTGTAAGCATTCATTAAGAAGCGGTTGCTCCAAATCTGCAA